ATTGTGCAACAACTTGGTGAGGGTGTCGAAATCGAGGAGGATGGATCTTCATGCCACATTTATGCAAGTTGTGCAACAACTTGGTGAAGGTGTTGAAATCGAGGAGGATGGATCTTCATGACACATTTATGCAAGCTGTGCAACAACTTGGTGAAGGTTTTGAAATCGAGGAGGATAGATCTTCATGTCACATTTATGCAAGTTGTGCAACAACTTGGTGAAAGTTTTGAAATCGAGGAAGAGGGATCTTCATGCCACATTTATGCAAGTTGTGCAACAATTTTGGTGAAGGTGTCGAAATCGGGAAGGAGGGATCTTCATGCCACATTTATGCAAGTTGTGCAACAACTTGGTGAGGGTGTCGAAATCGAGGAGGATGGATCTTCATGCCACATTTACGCAAGTTGTGCAACAACTTGGTGAAGGTGTTGAAATCGAGCAGGATGGATCTTCATGCCACATTTACGCAAGTTGTGCAACAACTTGGTGAAGGTGTTGAAATCGAGCAGGATGGATCTTCATGCCACATTTACGCAAGTTGTGCAACAACTTGGTGAAGGTGTTGAAATCGAGGAAGATGGATCTTCATGCCAAATTTATGCAAATTGTGCAACAACTTGGTGAAGGTGTTGAAATCGAGGAAGATGGATCTTCATGCCAAATTTATGCAAATTGTGCAACAACTTGGTGAAGGTGTTGAAATAGAGGAGGATGGATCTTCATGCCACATTTACGCAAGTTGTGCAACAACTTGGTGAAGGTGTTGAAATAGAGGAGGATGGATCTTCATGCCACATTTACGCAAGTTGTGCAACAACTTGGTGAAGGTGTTGAAATCGAGGAAGATGGATCTTCATGCCAAATTTATGCAAATTGTGCAACAACTTGGTGAAGGTGTTGAAATCGAGGAAGATGGATCTTCATGCCAAATTTATGCAAATTGTGCAACAACTTGGTGAAGGTGTTGAAATCAAGGAGGATGGATCAACTGAATAGCTTAGCTGGCTCAACTCAACTCAACCTGACTGACTTCTTTCAATATAAGGCAATTTAAAACAAGTGCGATA